GTTGCTATTGTGAAGGGAATTGAGTCTTTGATTTGGTTCTCGGTATGACTGCTGTTGGTGTATACGAAAGCCTCTGATTTGTGTGTATTGATTTTATATCCTGAGACTTTACTGAATTCATTTTTCAATTCCAGGAGCCTGTTGGTTGAATCTTTGGGGTTTTCTAGATATAATATCCTGTCATCAGCAAATAGTGAGAGTTTGATCTCTTCTGTTCCCATTCGTATGCCTTTAATTCCACTCAATTGCTTGATTGCTGTGGCCAGGACTTCCAGCGCTATATTGAAAGGAAGTGGAGAGAGTGGGCAACCTTGTCTGGTTCCAGTTCTAAGTGGGAATGCTTTATGATTTTTTTGTTGGTGATTTCACTGCCTAAAATGTCCCCGGAGCACGGTGCTGGAGTGCTGTCTCGTGCTCCTAAGAGCAAGAAGGCTGTGACACGCCGCGTGGAGGAAGGACGTGTTAGAGACGCTCCGTGAAGGCCGAGTCACAGCGCTGTTGGCCGAGAGTCTGCAACATACATGTTAAACAAAGCGTCTTTAAGCAGAAACACGCAAAACAAAGCCACGTATTGACTGGTTGATGAAAATGCTGTGACCAGAGGCTCACAGGCCCCTGACCCCGTATTTCCCCCAGGAGCAATGGTTCGTGTTCCCTAACTCGGTGTTCAGGGTGACTCCATAGAACATTCTAGTGCGGGTCATGGGCTGTGTGAATATTCTCTCCGTTTCTGTGTAGACAGAGCGTGTGTATGTGTAGACACAGCATTCTGCACCTCGCGTTTTTCACCCAGTATTTTAGAAATCTTCCCACATCACCATAGACCTTCCTTGTTCATTTCCCTGAGTCCTTTTTAATACTAGGACGTCGCTTTATAAAACAGACACAGGAGCAGGCACTTTGGAGTGACGAGCCAACCTCAGACGTGAAATAAACCAGGATTCTCCGATCCAGTCCCCTACGTCAGGGCCTGCCCAGTATCGCAGATGGATTTTAAGCCGAGGGGCGATGGTGTCATTTGCCTTAAGGTTTTCAAGTTAAGCTTTTAAGGGGCTAGCTTGGGTCCGGAGCCCGGCGTGACCTCTCTCCTTGTCCCCCAGCCATGCTGCGCACGGTGTCGGCGGTTCTCCAGTTCGGCAACGTCGTCCTGAAGAGCGAGCGGAACACGGATCAGGCCACCATGCCGGACAACACAGGTACCGTCCCCGCAGCCCCCGTCCTGCCTGCGGCCCAGGCCACTCCGATGTCCTGCCCTTTGCTGCGTCTTTGCTGAAATGACATCTCCCGCTCTCTCCTCGTTCCGTTATAATAATAATATTCTAATAATAAGCGTGAGCGCTGCGGGAAGTCTGAACGCCACCAGCCTCTGCCACAAAGGAGAGCAGCAGGGTGCTGCGTCTTTGCTGAAATGACATCTCCCGCTCTCTCCTCGTTCTGTTATAATAATAATATTCTAATAATAAGCGTGAGCGCTGCGGGAAGTCTGAATGCCACCAGCCTCTGCCACAAAGGAGAGCAGCAGGGTGGGGCGTCTCTTCCTGGCCTCTGGCCGCTGCAGAGATAGACTTTTTTTTTTTTTTGCCTTTAAAAAACAGAATTATAGTCAATATTACTTTTTTAAAAACCAGAATGGAAATGGCCATGCTTCTCTATTATTATAAAGTGATACAGGCTGGAAGGGAAAATATCTGGGAAGACAGAAAAGTCCAAAGGAAGGGAGAAAATTACCCATAATCATACTCGCAAGAGATAATTAATACTCGCATTTCGGAGGATTTCTCTCTGGGCTTCGTTCTACATCCGTATCACTGCGGATATAGATCGTCACAGAAACGGACCCATGCTTCACACGCCCTTCCCTGGAGACAGCAAGAGCTCGCTGTCCTGATTACAAAATCCTATGGGCTTTTTTTTTTTCCTGAACAAATAAGATGGAAGAAAAGGGCTCATTTTTAAAAGCTGCACAGCGCAGAGAATATGCAGGCAGGAGGCTTCACCCACGATACTGGTGACTGGCAACATTACCTGCGGCATTTGGGGGCTCTGATCACGTACAAGCAGGTGTGCTGTGCACATGCATTTGTTTTACAAAACTGGGGTGAGCCCTTACAAACATTTGAAACCTGCTTTTTTTCCCTGAATGCACTGGGGGTAACTTTCCAGGTTATTAACTAGAACTCTACTGGGATTTCTTAATCTGGGGTCTGTAGGGAGAGCTGTAGTCAGTAAAATTGGTCTCCTTTGAACGCCTGGGTTTTCTTTCGTGCATTTGCAAACATTAATCAGAGAAGCAGTCCATGGGCCTCACCAGCTGGCCAAGGGCACACCAAAGGCTCAGAACCCAAGGGACAATGTCCTGTTAAGGGCTGCGTAGTACTCCAGGGCGCAGTCCAGGATGTTTTTTCAGTCATTTTTTTTTTCTTCGATGCTTCCCATATAATGCAAAGTGAAGAATTAGAAACTACCATTCCACACTCAGACAAAAGGAGAAGTTTAAATCCTCATAACCTCACCTCTCAGAAGGAATCGCTGTTGACATTTTAGTGCATTTCCTTCTAGGAGTTTCTCTTTTCCTTTTCCTTTTCTGTTGGAGCTGAGTATTTGTAGTAACTGTTTTTTCGTTATGGGCGTGATAGATGCTTGAAAACGTTTATTTATTATTGTTTGAATTCTGAGTAGAAAGAAGAAACACACCTGCTTATACGGCCTCACCCTCATCTTCTGCAAAAACATCTATTTAACACTCTGGCGTCCAGACATTTTTCTGTGCATTTTTTTCCCCTACAAAAATGAGACAATATTGCATAACGTTCCGTAGCCTGAGTGTTTTCCTTTTTGTGCATTACATACTTTGTTCTATTTCATTCAGTATTTTCCAACAGAAACTTTTTCTCAATATTTTCTTGTAAAAAACATATAGAAAAGCCAAAAGGATTTATTTAGAAACCTATTATCTTTCGGTATTTACCAAAGGATTCTACCCTAGATATTTTACTCTTGTTGTAATTATAAATGGTATTTTTTTTGTTTGTATTTTAATTTTTTTCCTTCTTTTCCACAATGTAGAAGAACAATTAATTTTTAAATATTTACTTTGTGTTTGGCCACCTCAGTGAATGCTTATTCCAGTAGCTTTTCCCCCCAACATTTTATTACGAATGTTATTGTTAATATTTTACTACATTTGCTTTATTGCGTATCGTTTTACCCATTGTATTTTTTGGTGTATTTCTAAGTTGCAGACACTTGTATAGTTCATACCTACACACTTCAGCCTGCATATCATTAACTGGCATCCAATATTTGGAGTTCCTTTTTTAGTTTGAAGTGAAACATACGTATTGTAAAATGCACACGTCTTATGTGTACCGTGTAGTGAGTTCCTGGTGCAATTTTTAGTGACTGCAGGATGTTCATTCAGTTGAATAACCAATTCCTCCTTTCTGGGCATTCGGGTTATTTCCTGGTTTTCTCCACTATAAACAACACTGTTAGGAACATCCTCGTAGTGTGATCTTTGCTCACGTCCAGGGTTATTCTGGCCAACTCTGCTTCCTAGAGAGAGTTGCTGGGCCAGAGCATATACACATTCTCAGGACTTGTGACGCATCTGGTGGGAAAGGCTGGGGCCATCTCTGCCCCCCAGCAGTGGGGAGCGGCGCCCTCTTCCCCACCCCTCAGCTGGTGCCACTTCCCATTGCCGATCAGATCTTGCCACCTCTCGCCCTTAGCTGCGCAGAAGCTCTGCCGCCTCCTGGGACTGGGGGTGACAGATTTCTCTCGAGCCCTGCTCACCCCTCGCATCAAAGTTGGCCGAGACTACGTGCAGAAAGCCCAGACCAAGGAACAGGTAGGCGGGGCTGGCGGCGGGCAGGTCCCTTGGTCTGGGATCTTTAAACTGTTTATGCCATTTTTCTCGTTCACTCAACAGACTTTCGCCAAGTGCCTGCTCAGTTATGGGCTCTGGTCTAGGTGCTGAAAATAAAATCAGTAATCAAAGCAAAGACAGCCTCTCACAGAGCTCAAGTTGCAGTAGGGACACAGATATTAAAGAAGGTAGATGAACAGTCTGCTTTTAGACAGTGACACCTTGAATAAAGGAGGAGGTTTGAGTGGTCGGGAACGTCTTCTCTAGGGAGGTGACATTTGAGGTGTGACCTAGATGGCTCAAGGCAGAGGAGACAGTGACTGCAAAGGCCCTGGGGCCAGAACAAGCTTGCTGAGTTGGGAACATGAAGGAAGTCAGAGAGGCTAGAGAGCAAGTGACAGGGTGGTTGAAGCTGCGATCAGAGAGGTCAGCAGGGGCAGATCACACAAGGTCTTAGGGGCCACAGTAAGGAGGTGATTTTTATCCATAGTACATGGGAGGCCAGTAAAGCTTTAAGCCAGGGAGTGATTTGATTCAGTTTATCTTTTGTAGAAAGATCCCCTGGCTGCTGCACAGAGAATTGGGGCACAGGTAGAGGCAGGGAGACATGAGAAGGGCACGGCCATAGCCCAGGCAGGCAATGATGGTGGCTAAACCAGGGTGGTGGCGGTGAGGGAGGAGAGAAATGAACACAGGCCAGGGAGGTTTTCAGAATCCAGCAGAGGCCTCTCCTGGCCTCAGCTGGGCACTGAAATATGAGAATGAAGTACACTGTGGGGGAGAAGAGGAGTTCTCAGCTGGGGAACTATTGTCAGTCCCCATTTTACAGACAAAGACACTGAGGCACAGAGAGGCTTATTCACATGCCTGAGGTCACACAGCCTCATAAGTTGTAGAGCTGGGATTCGAACCCAGGTTCTTTGGCTCCTGAGACCACGCTCTTAACCTCTGTGCTATGGAAATTAGTTTGAAGGGTGGGAGGAGGACTCCTTCTGTGAGCTAACATGCCCTGAGCACCTCCCACAGTATCTGGCACACAGTAGGACTTCAGGAACGTTCGACCGTGGCTCGTGTCCTCGTTCTTGGTGGCATTCACGACCAAGAGGCTGGGAGGTGAACCCTGAGAGGGCCGTGCACAGAGGCCCCTCCCCTGCCCTGTCCACGCCCCGTGTCTCCGGGGCGGCTGATGTGCAGGCTGCGCCCTCACTGCGCGCCCCGCCCCGCAGGCTGACTTCGCGCTGGAGGCCCTGGCCAAAGCCACCTACGAGCGCCTCTTCCGCTGGCTGGTCCTGCGTCTCAACCGCGCTCTGGACCGCAGCCCCCGCCAGGGCGCCTCCTTCCTGGGCATCCTGGACATCGCGGGCTTCGAGATCTTCCAGGTCTGCCCCTCGCGCTGGAGGGGGACGTGGGGCTCCCGCACTCTGTTCCTCTCTCTCTCTCTGGGTTTCTGCCCCCCTCTCTCCGTGGGTCTCTGCATGCCCCTCTCTGTCCTCCTATTCACACGCGTCCTTGTCCCCCGCAGCTGAACTCCTTCGAGCAGCTGTGCATCAACTACACCAACGAGAAGCTGCAGCAGCTGTTCAACCACACCATGTTCGTGCTGGAGCAGGAGGAGTACCAGCGCGAGGGCATCCCCTGGACCTTCCTCGACTTCGGCCTCGACCTGCAGCCCTGCATCGACCTCATTGAGCGGCCGGTGAGCCCCAGGCCCCTCCCCGCCCGCACCCGGGTTCAAATCCGCCTCCTCCGCCGTCTTGTGACCTTGTCCGGCTCCTCTCCTGCCGGGCCTCAGGGCTCTCTGCTGGTTCCCTGGGAAGATGACAGCGCCTGCTCCCTCGGTCCGTTCTGACCACTAGATGGGTAGGGCCAGCACGTGCCTGCCACGAGGCTCTAACTCCAACTGTTGTCCTCACGCTTTGGTGGCTTGTCCAAGTGTCACTTACACACTAAAAATCAGCAGCAACACAAGCGCCCATCACGCCGGGGTCTGACTTACTCTCCCCTCTTGCAAACGGTCAGGCCAACCCGCCTGGGCTCCTGGCCCTGCTGGACGAGGAGTGCTGGTTCCCAAAGGCCACAGACAAGTCGTTCGTGGAGAAGGTAGCCCAGGAGCAGGGCGGCCACCCCAAGTTCCAGCTTCCAAGGCACCTGCGGGATCAGGCCGACTTCAGTGTCTTGCACTATGCGGGCAAGGTAGGGACTGGGGCGCAGCCCTGGGCACGTGGGCAGGAGTGGGGATCAAGTTGTGGGGAGGGCGTGGGAGGAAATCAGGGGTTTCCTCATGTCCAGACAAACAGGGCAGGGGCTAGGAGAGCCCAAGGAGCGAGGACTCTGTCTGACGAGATCAGTAAAACCTTACTTAAGGAGGGGATATTTGCAATAGGTTTTGAGGGATGGGTAGGAGTTCACCAGGAGGAAAACTATGTGCATTTTATTCACTCAGTCAGCAAACATGTGCAAAGGCCTTTGTGTACCCAGCTCTGTGCTCAGCAAAGCTAGGGACATGAGTCAGACACGGTTTCTGTCCTCACGAGTTCCTTATCTGAGAGGGAGACAGATCCAGCCCATCAGGATGTAAGGCTGATAGGTGTTTTAATGGGGGCAGCTAAGGGTAGAGCCAGAGGAGAAAAGCCGAGGTAGAGAGTAATGCTCACCTGGTGCCCATATCCTGAAATCTGAGTCAAGGGTCAGCAAACGTTTCCTGTAAAGGGCCAGGTCGTACCTAGTTTCAGCTCCGCGGGCCAGACAGTCTCCGTCACGACTACACAATTCTGTCGTAGCGCAAAACGAAGACATCAGTGAGGGCTGTATTCCAATCAAAGCATTTACAAAAAGAAATGACAGCTGGCTTTGGCCCGTGGGCCGTCGTCGTGTGCCCACCCCTGGTCTCAGCGATGAGCAGCAGGCGGCCAGCAGAGGCCGGGTGGAGGCCGGAGGGGACAGGAACACGAAGGCAGAGGCGGGAGAGCCCGTGTGGTCCCCTATCTGGCACTCAGTTCATTTCCCAGACATTTTCTAAGACCTCCCGTGTGCCCAGCCCCGTGCTAGGTCATGAGTGAGGCCATGCGTCAGACCTGGGCGCTGCCCTCGGGAGCCCCTGTGTGGGGGTGGGGGGCACATGTGGTGGTCGGGCCCGGGACTCTGTGGGAACCTCAGAGCAAAGCCCTGAACACTCGGAAGGAGCCTGTGGTGGGAATAGCAGGTGGCGGGAACTGCAGGGGCGAGAACCCGCAGGCGCGAGTGAGCCCGCGTGTTGGAGGCGCGGCGAGGGGGCCAGGGCGGCCGGAGGCGAGTGAGCAGGAGAGCGGTGGGGGAGGAGCTCAGCGAGGCGGGCCGGGGCGTCTTGGAGGAGGAGGAGAAGAGGGGCCGTGCTGGCCCGGGTGCAGTGCAGGATATGGACACAAGGTGGCAGCAACGCTCCTGTCCGTGGCGAGTCCGGGTTCTGGGAGGCTCCTGGGCAGATCTGGAGCGCTGCGAGCCGTCTCCGGCCTCTGCCTGCCTTCATCCAGGTCGACTACAAGGCCAATGAGTGGCTGATGAAAAACATGGACCCTCTGAATGACAACGTTGCAGCCCTGCTTCACCAAAGCGCAGACCGGCTGACAGCAGAGATCTGGAAAGATGGTGAGGCCCGGCTTCCCCAGCCCCGTCCTCGGAGGTCTGGGCATGCCTCCTCCCAACCTGCAGTGCGAGCACCTTCGTTTTGGAGGCTGCGGTCTGAACCCGACTTGTGTGCTCAGACCCAGAACAGACAGCCTCACAAATAATACCTCCAATCAGTGATGGGCCGAGGGATTGATTGACACCTCAAGCCAGCATCATACTCAGGGATAAAACACTCCCCCTTAGTCAGAAACCAGACAAGGATGCCCACTGTCAGCGTTGCTGTTGAACGTTGTTTTTAGCAATACTAGCCTATGCAATCAGACTGGAAAAAAAATAAGCATATGAATATTTTTTTTTAAAAAAAAGGTAGACTTGTTATTTGTAGATGGCATGTGTTCCCTTAAAAATTAAGAGATTCTACTGAAAAATATTAAGAGACCTCAGAATGGTGATGTTACGCAGGTTAGTCAACTTTTAGGCTTTGCTTTCTTTGCTGTCTCACAAAGCCCCCCGCGGTCCCCCAGGGAAGAGGAAAAGAACAACAGGCCAAGATGTGGTTTGGGGCACTTTCTGGCTCCAGCTAGGCCCTTGTGACTTTGGCTGTTGGTCGTTTAGGATTGATACATCTAGGAGTCACAGGCAGAAAAGCCAAATGCCTCGTGGTAGGACCCCGACCTCTCCTAAGACTTGTCTGCTGCCCCTCATCCTGAGAGGAGGTTTGAGAAATGGTTTTATAAAACTGGCAGAACCAGCGTCTTGGGTTTTCCAGATTTCAGGTTTCTGGCATTTGTCAGTTTGCCTTCATCTTTTTTTGCGGTGAAAGGGGTGGGTGTAAAAGCACCAGGCTATGCAATTAGGCAAGAAAACAAAATGAGCAAGATGGGTGGTTCCCAAAACAAACTCATGGAGCAAAAGAGCTTGGAGTGCTTCATCTCGTGAGCCGATGTTAGAGAAGTTTGATTTTCGTGCCTCATATAGTTTACACAAGAGGGGAGGAAAAGCAGCGTTTGATGTTGAGGAGCAGAACAAGATTCTGCCGTGAGAATCATCTCCAGACTGAAAATCTACCCCTATCTTTAAAACTTGTGCCACCTTCACAGACACGTGATTCCCCCCACCAGTGATCCCTCATTTGTGCCACTCCGTGTGTGCCTGACCCTCAAAGGGTTCCAAGAGAGAAAGTGGAACCTCCTGAACCGTAAGCTTAGAGCTAGCACAGTGGCACTTCCTCCGTAGTTCTCCCAAACAAAGCTGGTCACAGGCCGGCCCGGATTCATGGAGCGCCAAGTCACAGGCAAAGGGTGTGAGGACAGAAGAGTGGGGAATTGGGGCCGTTTTTGTGTCAATCTCTACTACAGCTGCTTTTAGCCCAGAGTTTGGGGCCCAGAGTCCTGGCTGCCCAGGGGAAAAAGTAAATGAAATAAACTCTCCTCTGAAAGGCAAAAACAAGTGGGCTGAGAGCATCAGTTTAGTACTCGAGCTTCCTGGCAGCCAGAGCAAAAAGGGATACACTCTCTAGGGAGAGAGATTTTTTTTTCCTTGCACTAAATTTTCACAGAAGACATTTGTCCTTTCAGCCAACATTGATGCTGTCAGTGGGTAGATATGAAGGTGAACAGGACTTTAAAAGTTCACGGCCACCATTCAGTTTTTCCCTCCTGCTTTGCCCTGTGTTGTTGACTAATAACCGTCTCCTTTTTTTCTTCCTGCCACCTTTTCTCCTCCCTCTCTTTTCATGCATCTCTCCTCACCATCTCTCTGCCATTTCCCCTCTGCCCCCCTCACCTGTCCCCACTCCCCAGAACACGGGGGCTTCCAACAGTTTTCTTTCCTTGACTCCTTCCCGCCGTCGCCTCCAGGATGCGCAGGGAGGTTCGGCTCTGCTGTTTCTGCGTCAGGGGGTGGGTGCCTCTGCATCGATGGGTGAGGCTTGCTGCATGAGGAGGGTGGGCCTGTTGGGCTGGGAACCTGATTTCGAACTTCTGTCCCTTCTCCCCTTGATGTGGGGTCTCTCCGTCTCCCTCAGCAGCTTTCAGACCCCGTGGCAGCAGAATCCTTTCTTCCAGCTAAACCTCATGTAAAAGCACAAACAGCTGCGATAGTATCGGCTGGTGTTTCCTGAGCACTTACTATGTGCCATTCCCTGTGTCAAGCTGTTTTATAATTTTTGACACCCAGAATCCTCCAAACAACCTCATAATGGAGGTATTAGTACTGTTACCCCCATTGTACAAAGGGGGAAACTGAGGCACAGAGACATTAGGTAACTTGCCAGTAACATCACACAGCCACTAAGTGGCAAGGCCGGGATTTGAACCCAGGATATTGGGTCCCAGAACCTTGGCTCTTATCTGTGCTATGAGAACTTAATAAATGGTGCTCGCTTTAGCAGCACATGTTTTAAAACTGGAACGATACAGAGAAAATTATCATGGACCCTGCACAAGGATGACACACAAATTTGTGGAGTGTTCCATATTTTTAAAAAATAATAATAATAATAAAAGAACTTAATAAATAATAATTATCATTGGGAGTGTGGGGTAGGGGAGAGTGTTGAGCCTGGGGAGGAAAAGATCACATTTGTGCCCCACCGGGCACCAGGCCCTGCCCTGGGCATGGATGATCTAGCTGGCAGCTGATGACACTTAGTGGGGCTGAGTTTTGCAGTCCATCAGACTCCGCCCTGGCCGTGGGTTCCTAAGAAACCTGGCATGATTCGAGACCAATCCGGAAGGAATCCGTGGGTATTTTTCACTGGCTGAAGTGGCGCCACCAAGGGGCGACAGAGAAAGCAGAGTTACTGTGAGATTGAGCCTGTCTGGGAAAATGGCTCGCGGGGAGGCAGTTTAGCGTGTTCTGTGCTTTTGTTGCCGTAAAGGCAAGACGTTATTACAGCTTCTAATATGTTTCAGCTTCCAAAAATGCATCTGGGCTGGGTTTCTTATCACTGTGTTCCCTCTCGGTGCCTCAGTTTCCTCGTCTGTAAAATGGGAATGATTCCTATAGGCTTATGAAGCCACTGTGCGTACGTGGCTTTGAGCAGTGCTAGCAGAGTGTAAGTGCTAGTTAAGCATTTGCTGTCATTGTTATCATCATCAATTAGTAAGGAAAACAGAGATCGTGTCCTTGAGAAGAAGGGACAATGACCAGGGTTCGAGAGGACTGTGACTGCCTGGCTGCTAGTCCTGGACCTTCAGTTTCTAGGCTGTGTGGCCCGGAGCAGTCTCCCACCTTCCTGAGCCGTAATTTGCCCATTTGTCCAAAGGGGTCGATGATACCTACCTTATAGGCTGCATGTGGTGTTTCATATGTAAAGTGCCAAGTCCTATAAATGACAAGACCCTTGACCTTTGACCAACCTGGCTCCCTAAAACTGACCCCTGACCCACCTCTCTCTCTGCGTCTGTTTCCTCCCCCCCACAGTGGAGGGCATCGTAGGGCTGGAACAGGTCAACAGCCTTGGGGATGGCCCACCAGGTGGCCGGCCCCGTCGGGGCATGTTCCGGACAGTGGGACAGCTCTACAAGGAGTCCCTGAGCCGCCTCATGGCCACACTCAGCAACACCAACCCCAGTTTCGTCCGCTGCATTGTCCCCAACCATGAGAAGAGGGTGAGTGACCCAGCAGGGGGGGGGCAGGGTGGCTCTGGCAGTGGGTAAAGGTCTGGGCTTGGCTGGAGCCACATCCGATTCCAGGACCCCCTGCAGCTGGCTGTGTGGCTTTGAGCAGGTTGCTTCTGGTCCCAGGCTCAGTGCCCCATTGGGAAATTCATTCATTCACGTGACTTAAATGTGTCGAGCACCTGCTGTGGCAGGTTTGGGTGTGGCTGGGGATACATGGCAGAGGAAAGCACGGCCAGCCCCGTCCTGCAGAGCTCACAGTCTAATCGGGGGCACTGACATTCAACTAACCACCCTAAATGAATGTTGCGTGGGGCTTGATCTGGTCAGCGAAGTCAGGGAAGGCTCCCTGGAGGAGGTGATGATGGAGCTGTGGTTGTTGGGCGGGTCTGTGTGTGTGTATCTGGTTTCTCTGTCTGCAAATACCGTATTTTATCAAACCCGAGGCCGACATTTGTCCACGCTACCATCTCTGAAGTTGAGATGTGGCCTACAGTCGGTGGCCTGGCAGAGTTTAATTGCGAGACTTTCTTTTCTTTCTTGGTGGTAGATAAAATAGTGGCATGTGTCATTTGCATCTTTGTGCTGTTTAGATCTTTGCCATTTGTGTGTTACTGTTGAAAAAAGAAAAGGCAACGAAAGCTAACCACCAAAAATGATGATTTGGGGGCTTTGGTCACATATCCACGTCTCAGCGAGGCCTTTTGCCGACTCTCCTATGTGCAAATCCAGCCCTGCCCGCCCTGCCTCCTGCTGATCCTTTCCCCTCAGCACTTGACCGTTTCTTCTCTACTCCCGACAGTGAATAGCGACGGCTTGATTACTATTAATATTATTGTCAGCTTCTCCCACCGGACTTTCAGCTCCCCGGGGCAGGCAGTTCTGCCTGGCTGAGCATTGCTGTCTCCCCAGTGCCTAGAACAGTGCCTGGCATGTAGTAGCTGCTCAGTAAATCACGGGTTGACCCACGTGAAATGGCCATTTGGCCTGGTGAGTGGCGCCCCCGTGTGGCCGCCGCTGACCCTGCATGTCTGACCGCTCTCCCCAGGCTGGGAAGCTGGAGCCGAGGCTGGTGCTGGACCAGCTGCGCTGCAACGGCGTCCTGGAGGGCATCCGCATCTGTCGCCAGGGCTTCCCCAACCGCATCCTCTTCCAGGAGTTCCGGCAGCGGTGAGCGGGGCTGGGCGGGGCTGGGCGGGGCTCGGGGTTTGAAGCTGCCACTCTTGCATTTGAATTGCTATTCTGAGCTGGGGGACTTGGGACAAGTGACTCACTCGGCCTCAGTTTCCTCCTCTGGCTTATGGGAGACCAACACCCCACTCGATGCGCTGCCGAGAGCAAGCACGTGGTGTGCTGAGGGGGCCTGCGCCCTTTGCTGCGGATATTTAGGGTGGTGGTCCCCAAACCAGGACCCAGGACCATGAAATCACTTCAGCATCTTGCAATTTGCTCTTCTTAGCAAACGAGGTAGAGCAGGATAGAACACAACATACCAAAGTCTAATGAACTCGCGCCTGTAATCCTAGCACTCTGGGGGGCTGAGGCGGGAGGATCGCTCGAGGTCAGGAGTTTGAAACCAGCCTCAGCAAGAGCGAGACCC